ATTGGTTTATTATCCAAGTAAATTTCAGAATATTGTTAAATATTTTGTTATTTATATTAGTTGTTTGTATGTATTATGTGTTATTATCCTGGCTGTTGAAATACATTCGTGTAACAATAACATATTCGGTTTGGCGCAAATCACCTTATTTTTATCGTACTTGCTATTTTTTCTCTTCATGGTTATCATGAATATAATTCATGCAGTCAGAAAAAAAAGTTTGCCTCATAACTCCAATAAACGAAATTTGCCATTCGTTCTGTCGAATACCTTTTTTGTTTGTTATATCCCAATAGTTGTTTCTCTTTTCCTTGGGTTATTGATAGAATTCAATTATATAGTTTTGTTAGCTACTATATACACAACGTTTTTCATATCAATAATGACACCTGTATACTTTTTTATGATACTGTATAAATACGACGATGATTTCCATACATTTTTCAGACATGTACTTACTTGTAAATGTAGGCAGTACCAGGAAGAATTTCAGGAACAGCAAGTTGTTTATAATAACGATGTTAACGTTGATGAAAATAAATGTTGAAGAGATGTTCGACTATTTTATTCATAGATTGCCACCAACATGAATTAAAACAAACATTGTTCACGAATATCGATATCTATCATCGTTTCTGCGTTACATCATGTTTTTCGAAAATGTACATTTTCAAAAAGTTGCTGTTACTATAAAAAATTTGTTATACTATGAAAACATTATCAAAGCACTNAAATTTTAGGGGGGTGTTTCCATTAAAAATGGGTCTCACTGTATATCGACCAACCAAAAAAAAAACGCATTATTAGCTACAACAAATCCGCATTTTTCATTATAACGATGTTATTATTTCAAGTTGTAAAAAGTATATTCCGTAAACTGAAAAGGAAAAAAAATCGAAGTTCCTTCAATAAAGATTGTACTTTGATGAAGAATTGATAAGAAGAACAGTAATAATATGTTTTTGATAATAGTATTGAAAATTTCACATTGAAAATGTTGGAAAGGTCGCATCACGAAATATTCACTCGAATCCCACATAATTTTGTTTCCCTTTATCCAAGGTCTCGTTGGAACAAATTAACATGGAAACGTGCCCAACAACTTCAATCTCTGGAGAAGAAATTATGAAATTCATCACCTCCAACTTCCATTTCGAAGTCATGTTATTAACGAATTTGGTTCAATTATTCCACAACCGCAAAATCAAAATTGCTAATAGCATTCCTGGCAGATGGCTTATGTTTGACTGTTTCATTGGGATTTGGTTTCATTCGTAATTGAGTTCATTACTCTCAAGGTTGCAATTAATTTGAAACATATGAATTGAACATTGATTCGCAAATAGTCCGGCACGGAACTCAACAGGTATGGATACGAAATGATATTTCCAATGAATGTAAATTTTGTGATTCACTGGATGATGAATGAACACAAACTATTAAAATGCACCAAATGAATGAATGAAATTTATTTCTGGCCACACGCAATTTATTTGAATAATAATTTTTCGTGAGTAGAATAGTTTTTCTGCTGAAGCAAATGACAATTTTCACAAACACATCAACATTTTGCCCAGAGCATACTTTCACTAAATATAAATGGAGTTTTGATCATGCCCTAGACCCTAGACCCAGCTCCACTGAAAGTAGTGATAAGTGAAAACTACTCAATACATAAACTAGATTTAAAAATATTGAATTTGTCTTTTTCTAAAAGAAATTATTCAGACTTATTTTCAAATCAAGTCATTCAAATGAACTCCTTTATTTTTCTGTTCGACAATTTTATAAGTAATTGTATTAGAAATAGTCAGTATAAGGTAAATTACTATATACGGAAACTAGAAGCACATATGAAAACGCCTGCACACGTCACACATACACTTACGTTAAATAATCATTAACGCTGTGATACGCATTCAAAACTAAAAAATGTTTTTGTTTCAAACATCCCTAATGTTTTGCTTTCTATCATTTCACTTGGTAGAACATTAAATAAACGTGTATCTGCAATATTTGAGAGCAATCCGCCCACGTGCTGCGGTACTTGATATAATTTTTTTTGCCTAGTGTTAATTGTATNGGAATCTTGGCCAGAGAAATCATTATTACTTATGCCAAAGAGTATTCAACCATGTACCGGAAAACTTGAAAAAAGAAATAGTCATAGCGAATTCTATCACTGTCATCAAAAAAGGATAAAACAATATATATTCACTTTGCAGGGGAATACTATACATGACTTCCTAAAATGTAAATGAGAAATAGGTAGTAGATTAGAATTCGTGTTAGCTAATAAATTCATCAATTTACGTATACAATGTACAAGAAATCATTATTTAATCGTCAACTAACATGGAAATTACATTTTATGGCGATGATACATGTATACTTACCGGATTCTCATGTACAACCTCGAGTTTCTGAGGTATTCATGTTTGTTTACTGTAGGTTTATTCTGGAAACTTCACCATATCCATGCACTTGGTAACTAAACATTATTATTACTAGCGTACTCTTTCTTTATAATAATCTATAATATGCTTTTAGTATTGTAATGATTCATATTTTTTATTGTTATATTTTTATCTTGTTTTACAAATTATACTGCATCAATTTTATCTATGTTCAAAATTTGCAACCTACATTGTATTACATAATTTAAATTCAAAATACTTAAGGAAGAAATAACTATTAAAAAACCACCCTCACCGCGGACAGCCAATGGCTTTGCGGTTTCTCTCCTTGTTTATTTGTATTACATAGTTTATAAGATATAATGTTGAATTTTATCCAAATAAACCTTATTATTATTATAACATACCTAGGCACCTTATTTCAAAATCAGCGTCTTCAATCTTGAAACGTATGCTTTATAAATTGTGTACTTTCTAATACAGTGATATTTTTCAAACTACTACCACCATCTCTAGGTCATGCCTTGGACTTCTGGGACCATCCTCTTATGAAATGAAAAATATCTTTTTCCTTACAGAACGTTCACTTCAAAATCCGCTATACTGAGTTCTCAATAACAAAATGAATGAATGGAAGCGATAAGACAATAACGACCTCCCTCGAAATAGTCTCTGATGGGTTATTTTCTGTTCTGTATTGGATATTTTGTCGTTTCAATTTCAGGTTGATTTTGTAAAACTAATTTCCAATATAAACCCCGTCGAAGTTGAATCGATTTCGCTGCTCAGTGAATGTTGACGATTACTATAAAAGAAGCTTGAAATCTCCAAGGTTATAAATAAAAGATACGAGGAGGTGAATTTCATGATTTCTTGAGGGGGACACATTTCAGATGTATTTTTCTACCTGTGCCTTCAATCCCCTAGCGAGGGTGAGTAACAACCCTAAAATTTTAAATGGAAAGTGGGGTCGAGTGATATATTTGAAATGGCACAAAATTATCTTTTCAATGATACCTAATTTGTTGTATTTACTTGAATAGTTATAAAAAAAAAGTACATTTACTCGATATTTTTGGTGTTGATGAAAATGCGTTTACTGTTACTGTCAAATACAGCAAGGACTACAGTTCGAACATTTAAAATGTATTTAATACTGGATCACTTTCCCATTGGTAAATTGATTGTTGGAAAAAAGAATAATTATTTGATTTCTACTTTTTTTAGGTAGGTACATATCAATAAAATATATCTTTCAAATTCTGTCCGTTAGACCCCAAGTATCACATCTTTGCGGAATCAGCTTGTTACGGATTATCTAAAACTGACACCAAATACAGGTTGTTGCATTAAAAAAAATATCGATAACAATGTCATGACATTAATATGGATCACCGTGTATAATGAAATTTTGTTGTGAAATGTAGAATGTCAAAATTAAAAATCGACGTGTTTCAGGTTTTTGTAAAACAACCTTTGGTTTTGGGAATATCGAATTTATTCTATACTTTGCGGACACACTGTATATCACTGGTGTTTTATTCTAATACCAAAATGTTATTTTAACACTTCGGCACGTGTTTTGATCACCCAGTGATCATCCTCTTGACAGTTTAATCTTCCTCTTTTTCAAAAATTGTCAAAATTAGTGGGTCCTTCTATCTCAGTTGCTAATAGTTCTGAGGTCGTTCATCTTGGTTTCGTTATAAGGATCAATCCTTTTCATTTCAAAGTTGTAGTCAAGGAGCCTCTTTGGCAAAAACTGTTTATAAGTATTTATGTATTGATTGTAGTAGAAACATATATAGAAGATAGTTTAAATAACAAAATTGAGATTTCTAATAAAATATTGAATTGTCCATCTTGTCACAAACAAATTGAAACATCTAATAAAATTGTGCAATATCTAACGTTTCTGATCAGTAGCAACATGGAACATCTTCGGGAGTTTATATTGAAAGTAATTGTTCAGACTTTACTGTCAATGACGAATAATCAATTAATAATTGACTCTGTTGAAAACAAATCCTTCAAAAAGTAATGTTTTATGTTTTTTTAGTGAATAGNTAAAGCAACACGGAGGTTGGAAGTCTACAAATATCGCTGAAGGATATGTGCAGCAATCTCTTGCAAAAAAGCAAAAAATTTCGAACCTAATTATGGGAGTCACTAAAGTTAATGAAACTGATTGTAATCAGCCAAGTACGAGTATTTCCGAGGGATACCAGCTGTATAATAATATAGTTAGTGAAAATATCACGAAAACTGCGTTGGATCCAGCTCTCAGTTCTAGTGGTATTCAAATAACCACTGCTCAAAACTGCACGTTTAACATCACTATAAATAATTACTCTAGCAGAAATTAAAAATATGTAGGATGCAAGTATGAAAATACCGTCCCTATGAGTTATACTGTACCTACTTCTCAGTTTTAGTTCTTTAATAAATTTTGTTTGTAAGATTCATAAATAAATTATTTTTTGGTAGTTTCATTAATAAATTATTTAAAAATTTGAGGGAGGCGGAAGAATCATATGTATAACATGGGGGTAAAGTGAATTTTCCTCCCTTGAATGATTACTGCCCGACGCGTAGCGGAGGGCAGTAAACTTCATTCTCGGGAGGAAAAGTAACACTTTCCTCCCTTGTTATACAAATAGCTATTTTTCACGGTGGAAAAAGTGAACATTTACGCATCAATAGAAATGCAGAAATGCCTAGTTTTTTGACAGTTGTTCAAAAAAATATTCATAATTTTGCAGTTTCCAAAACATAAATTAACAACTCCTATGTTTTACAGAAAATGAACATCTCACTGGCAAATTCTACGTTCAACGAATCCGACCTGGAACAGGAATTCGTATTCAATCGTGGAGTTGAAGAATTGGCTTCCAGAATATTCTTAGAATTGTTCACCATCTTGTCTTTCATATGCATTGCCTTCAACATCATCATCAGTTTCGTCATCTTGAGATACCGAAGACTTCGAGAGGAAAAATCGAACATTATTTTACTTCATTGGGCGATTATGAATTCTCTTTTCATGTTGTCTACGCCTACGAATTACAGATTCATGCACGATTTTTCAGATGCAATCGATTACTTATCGGTGTATTGTATAGTAGAACAATTTGAACACACCTTCCTCTTAGCTGATATTCTTCTAATTACGTTTCTTGTGATATACTGGTATCTAAGATTATATTACCCAAGTAAATTTCAGAATATTGTTAAATATTTTGTTATTTATATTAGTTGTTTGTATGTATTATGTGTTATTATCCTGGCTGTTGAAATACATTCGTGTAACAATAACATATTCGGTTTGGCGCAAATCACCTTATTTTTATCGTACTTGCTATTTTTTCTCTTCATGGTTATCATGAATATAATTCATGCAGTCAGAAAAAAAAGTTTGCCTCATAACTCCAATAAACGAAATTTGCCATTCGTTCTGTCGAATACCTTTTTTGTTTGTTATATCCCAATTGTTGTTTCTCTTTTCCTTGGGTTATTGATAGAATTCAATTATATAGTTTTGTTAGCTACTATATACACAACTTTTTTCATATCAATAATGACACCTGTATACTTTTTTATGATACTGTATAAATACGACGATGATTTCCATACATTTTTCAGACATGTACTTACTTGTAAATGTAGGCAGTACCAGGAAGAATTTCAGGAACAGCAAGTTGTTTATAATAACGATGTTAACGTTGATGAAAATAAATGTTGAAGAGATGTTCGACTATTTTATTCATAGATTGCCACCAACATAAATTAAAACAAAAATTGTTTAAGAATATCGATATCTATCATTGTTTCTGCGTTACATCATGTTTTTCAAAAATGTGCATTTTCAAAAAGTTGCTGTTACTATTTTCCTATCAAAAATTTGTTATACTATGAAAACATTATCAAAGCACCTTTTTGCACGCTTTATATTAGCTTCACCTGTATGTATGTATGTATGTATGTATGATTGTTTGTATGCACGTTTGAGTGTAACTCTCAAGATCGGGATCTGTATTGACAGAATTATCGGCATTATTGCTTGATCCATTCACGGGCAGATGGCGCTGTACGTAACTATCAATTATTGCTTGATCTATTTGCGAACAGATGGCGCTGTAAGTAACTATCAATTATTGCAATCAAATCAAAATGTACTTCATTTTTGAAGATGAAATCTCATTGACAAAGAGTTACTATTCTAAGAAATATAAGATTCACAACTTCATTTGGTGATTTCAGCATTTTGGGGTGAAAAAATAGTCAGAAAGTGATAATATATATGCTACATATTGAAATGAATAATAATAATGATAATAATAATGATAATAATAATGGATATTCTCATGCAACACAGGAATGTAAGTAAGAGAATATAAAAACTATGAAGCATAAAAATATAAAAGTGAATGGATAGAAAATAACAGAAAGAATCAACTTCGCTTGAGCTATTCGCGGGCAGATGGCGTTATTTTAAGAATTATAAGTGTTAGCGAAATTTTGTACTACAGATGAAATATTTGAATATTTTCAATTACCCGTGATTCAGTACAGAAAAAAGTTTTGAATAGGGATTCTCAACCTTCTTGCACCTGTGTGTTTTTTAAAATCAATTTCCCTCAGCTGTCGATGACCAATAGGGCCACGTGACTGGTACATGACAAGGTGGCTCACAGGTGAAGGCCTGAGATATGAGGAGGGGTCCCAAAGGGGCCCACACTCTCTTCCATACTCATTCCATCCTTCTCTGCATCGATTACGTCACACGTTTCTCTATTCCACTCATTGGAGTATATCTCTCTCTCCCTCTCTCTCTGAAGCACTTATCAATGACGTGGGACCTTGAAGTGAGCCAGAAGTCTCTTTGTTCATCTACTACTTTCAACAATAGGAATCCTAGGACAATTTTTTCGAAAAAGTCGCCGATATTTGTAATGTGTGAGTTGTTCAAGTGTCCGACCTGTGCCATATACATCATGACAGCAAACAGTTTATTTTAAGAACTATAAAAAATTCAATGTTATGATTGTTTTCCATTTTTGTGTGGTACTAATTTTTTTTATTTATATAAACTCTCTAATTAGTTGTAGTTTTTCTATTTGTGGATGTAAACCTGTTGAGAATAAACATATTATAATGATTGATATTATTATTAACTCCCAGAAATTCTTCAGTAACTAAAACTACACAATTGTCAGATATTTGAAACTTTTATGAACTCGTTCGCATGTATAGAAACCTAAGAAATTCAGCAAGACACACTACTGAGAGAATAAATCAATTATGTTTTGAGACGTTCGCAAAACTTGAACTGGAGCGGTTTGGTGTACGAATTTCATCATCTTGTATAACATTAATATCATTTTCTGTGTTGTCACCTAAAAATATAACTCAATCATGTAACGTTCTAATTGAGTTTAACCTCTACTAGAATAAGCTGCGCACTTTAGCCTCGGAAAGATTTAATTCAGTAATTAACTTGACTAACAGTATTAGTGGCATTCGCAGAAGAACATTTGGAGAAAATGTGTTCACTGTATTATCTTATTTGAAAGGTTATCACACACATTCAGACAAAATAGGTTCACAACGACAATGAAAACATATTGTGGACTGTTTAAAAAATGAGGTGAATGTTTTTAAGTGTCGCAAGCTAAGTAGGAGAAATCCTACTTAGCCCGCGAGGATGTCATACCTAGAATTAGTGAGCCCCCTTTGTGTATATGTTTTACATGACTGATGGAACAGGTGGTATAATTGCATGGGTTCTGAACCGAAAACAATTCTATGTGTGAAAGATGAAATTTAAAAAAAGTATTTGTATCTGTAGATTAGGGAGGGTGGTGTGGACTCACAGCACTTTAGCCACATGTGACCCATTGTACATCCTCCCGCGGAGTCGTCCTCCTAGGTCATCGTCCATCGTCCTTTCCAGGAAGGTGAACAGGTCACTAGGAGACATCTCCTTTATATCGGCCGGTATAGGCCAAGACTCGCCGAACACTCACTCTCTTATTGACGGTAATTCCGGGCACTCGCATAGAACATGTCTGACAGTTTCATCTTCCTGTTCACACATCCTGCATAGAGGTGTGTCCACTAGCCCCATATTGTAGAGGTGTTTCCTTAGGCCAGTTAGAAATCCTACTGTAAGGAGTAGATTTTCCCTGGTCATCGCCAGATATTTCTTCGGCGCCAGCTCACCAGGGTCGTCCAGGGTGATACTGGCAAGATTGCCTCCTTTGATTCCATCCCGTCTCTTTAGGGATTGAGCATAGGTGTAACATTTCGCTAGTTCCGCAATTGTAGGTGCCATTGGTCCTAAAATTCTTAGTTCAGCCACTTCCTTGGCTATGAAGCCGGCAATGGGATTATCTTTACTCCCTTTAATCCCCCTCAGGATACTGTTATTATCTTCCGAGGCTTTGGCTAAATATTGGTGACACTCTGGTACTAGCCCTAAGGTAACACGTTGTATGTTCTAGACTAACAGGGCTTTTTGCTATCAGTGGAGGTTGTTGTTTTTGCCAGAAATTCCTTTCCTGGTTATTTCTTTCGTGGCGATTGAGATATCAGCTAGTTCTGTTTGAACCACCCATTCCCCACTTAATCATTAGGCCTTGTGATCTGGAGTACAATCCGCATCCTGAGCCTTCTTTGGTTTTTGAGCCGTCTATATATATGCGTATTGCATTTGTAGCATCTGACTCTGTGCTCTGTTCTATTTGTATTTTGTAGGGTTTATTAAACACAAACTTGGGTTTAATTGAATCACTGGTTGCCTGCAACAGAGGTTGCGCAGTGACCGCTTCTTGCTATAGGCTTAGCCTCTTTTCTGTGACTGGGTTCACGTGAAAAACACGTTGTGGTGATTCAATTTGAAATTTTGATAATCACCAAGCAGGAAATATTCCAACTTTGAAGAAATCTGCCGGGAAAATTTGAGGGAATCCAGAAAAATCAAGGTAAAATCATGCAAATTCAGGCTAATTAAGAAAAGTTCACGGCGAAATCAGGGTTAACGTTGAATTTCGGGTCGAATCAAAATCAAGCATATAGTGGATGTTCTCACATAACTGCTGATAAGATTGCCGGTATCCTGAATCGCCATTGGAGGAATGGAAAGAAGATAATCTCTGGTTCCTTGTTGGAGATATGATAACGATTAGGAGTTGTAAGGTTGAATTCATTAAACCCTGAGTAAAGTCCCTATATTTCACTGATCAAATTGATGAATATTCCTATCGTGGAAACAGATTGGAAATATAAGCACTTAGTATTTTTTTTTTCGAAAAAGTTTTTCAACAAACAGGCCAACCTCATTCATTGTTCTTTTATTTTATTTATTTTGCATTTAATATTTTTTATCTAAACAGACAAATCAGGTCTAATTACATGGATGAAATATATACAATATTTAACGTAAAAATAACGAAATATATATACCAGGCCTCTCAATTACGAATATTTCCAACCTCATTCATTGTTTTCATTTATTTCATTCATTTTTCATTTCGTATCCAAACAGACCAATCATACATGAATGAAATATATACAATGTTTATAATATCAACTGAACTGGAACTTGACTTCCTACAAAATATCCAATATTTCTTCAGTGATATTCGATTCATCATATTATTCCTGAATGAGTTATATTCGTCAATCTGAAAAATTTCTGAAGACGAAAATCCTGATGCTAACTGAATTCATTGTCTGGAAAATCGTTTGAGGTTACCTATATATAATCATCTACAAAGTTCAAACTCTCACCTAAAAGGAGAGAACGGGCTATGATTGTTCATATTACATCATCTCTGGCTCCTGAGTGTGGTAGACTAAACATTTAGTACACATCAATCTACACAGGACACAACACAAGTGTCTCCAGTAAACTAAATTGGGCAAATTACTTTAATGAAAACTTGTTTCGCTCCCGAATCTAATGAAATGTCGCATGGTAGATAGTATGTTGACGTATTCTTGGGTTTACTTTCACAAATCTCTTGTGGAAAGTTTACCAGAACTATAAACACTCTGACCTGTTACTTGATGAAAATTCCTGTTTATGTGAAAACATTTTCAAGGCACTTTCCTACGTAGAATTCAATGGTGTGAAAAATTAATTTTTTCAATTTAGATATCAATAGTTATTGATGAAAAACAATTTTTCAATAACACACCCTGTATATTCCTGCATACTTTGGAAACCAAATCGTAACTTGATGTAATATATGCAGATTTTCGATAGGTGTTTGACACAGTTGAACATGATGTACTCTTGTGTAAATTGAGTAAGTT